CTCTTCATGTTGTGACCTCGTAATGCAGTTTTCCTCTCTACTGTTTCCTCTTTTTAAAACTTATACAGCATTCTCTTGATAGTTCTTGAATGGACTTTAAAGAGGGAAACCAGAGTATGAATGTTGATACCATTACTGAAGGTCTTAATGATCTTTTTCATCTCACTATTGCTCAGTTGGGAAGACATACCTGTTCTTTTTCTAGCTAAATAACTCAGAGTTTTTCTCTGATTCTTACGACAAATGTTGTCAAGATGGCTAAACGTCTTATCTAAAAACCTGGAAAAAAGAAACTCGATTAGTTCAGTGTCATTTTTTTCTTTTCTTTTTTTTTTTCGATATTAAATATTTTGTGGGATGGTCAATTATGCTGTTACACGATTTGGGCAATTTTGCTGTTACACCCGGTAGATTTACTATTTTTTATTATTGTCTTTTATCAGGCATCTCTTTTATACTTTCGGAATATGTCTGCAAGTTTTGAAAAACTTTCGAATCACTTTTGAGTCTGGTCTTCACTAGAAAGTTTTCCTCGTCAAAGCATTTGGCAGCGATCAAGAAAGGTAATCGATATTCCTACAGTAATAAGTAAGTTCGATTCTGAAAGTCTATTCCTATGTGGGACAAATTCCCGGTCGGATGTTTTCCAAATTCCTACAATTTTGACCTCTTCAAGTTTAGGCTTATCTTTCCTGCATAGGTCCATGAACTTCATTTCTTACCTTTTCTTTTAGTTTCCCTGAGTATGACGATAAACTACATCCGGCAGCATGACCTCTGATTGGAGGTTTTGAGGATCGTAGAACCATCTTTTAATTGCAACCGGGGTAGTAGCACCTGTTAGGGCCCCAGCTATGGATAAATGGTGAACTTCCAAACCAAAACAAAACACTATGAAAGCATAGAAATGCGTTATAAATATACTTAGTTGAACCTTATATTGGATGAAAATTAGTATAAAAAATTAAGGGTTCTTAATGACCAAGATCAGAGACGTCTTGATAGGATTGTCCAGGGCAACAGACAAGCGGCATTTGGCCCAAATTCTGGAGCTGGCAGAAACATACCCAGCAGAGGGGTTCAACGTTCTGTAGCTTTGAAATGATATTGTTGTAACCAAGTAAATGATTAAGTAATAACAAAAACAAGGTCTGCAGATATATCGTATATTAAACAGTAAGTACACTAGAAAAGTGTTAAACGAGTAGTAAGAAAGTGTCGAATGAACTAGCACTCAATCCAATCGCTGTTCACTGTTCCCCGAAGCCTTCTGTCCTACTAATCTTATAGTAGGCGGAAGAGTCTAACATAGACTATTAGAGGAAGAACACCACAGCAGAAGGTACAACGCTTCAAAATTGGTAATATGTTGTGTGGTCCGATGAGTTGTGATTCCAGTTTTTTTCAGGCTGACAGTACGAATGAGGTGTGACACAGACCATACGGGGCCATGGATCCCACTTGTCAACAAGGTTCCAAAATGGTGTGTGTTTTGTTGACCTAGAATGTGTTTGATATGCTAATTCGCTTAAACGCGTCATTGACTTGAGACTGCAACAACACTTCCCCGTTTCTTAACTATTTGTACCAATTCATGGGCTTCCTGAGCTCCAGCAGCGATGGATTATGTCAGCGGATTAATCCGTCATGTCATTGGGCCAGATCTATCCAAACCTGATTTGAAGAACATTATGAAAACTACGAACGTTTTGACTCGGCTACCACATTTGCTCGCCTGACATAAGCCCAATCGGGCATTTATAAGTAGTGTTCGCACACATTATCCTGTGTCTGTAGGTAACTATCCAGGTATCATGGCTCAATATCTCTCCAGAAGTATTCCAACAACTTAAGGAATCGATGCTGCATCAAGTTGCTGCACCTCGCTGGGCTAGAAACAGTCCTATATGAAACTATATGCCTATCCGGTGATTTTAACACGAGGAAATGGGAGTTTGTGTATCCTTGTGTATGATTCTGAAATTTTCACTCTGTAATATGCGATCTCTATTGGTAAACGGAGACTGGTTGATTTAAGTGCATTGACAAAGATTATGAATATTGGAAACTGAATATTTGCTACTTAAAGGAAATGTTTTTTGGTTCGGTTAATCTGCGGACGCATTGATGTACTTGTATATTTGGCTAGAAATCAAATACATAGATGTATTTGGTTAAATGTATCGATATATTGAGCGATAGGCACAGATATATAGATACAATAATGTTTGCATGTTGTGAATTTATTCCATACAGAATAAATCAAGGAGAAAATGTGACGGTTCAAGTAGCGCCTTTTATGACTAAACCTGAGATATCTTTCATAGGAAATTTTTGCAATAAATAATAACTTAATATCATATTTTTTTAATCTGGATTCGAAGTATCACCATGATTTATAAAATACTAGCAGTAGAGCCCAGCGTTGCCTGGGGATGTAACAGTAAGAGATAGATCAAGTATCGACCATCATAAAGACTGAAAAATAAAATTGACAAAGATTATTGTTTAAGGTTGACGGACACGCATGTCTTAATTAGATTTTTTTTTGTTTTTTTTTACGAATTGGTCAAACCCAAACTCAAACAAAAACATTGTTTTCAATCGTTATGAGTCTATCGATTGAATAGAATTTTATCATAAACAATTGTCTTGTAAATGGAATTTTTAAAGCATTTCGAATGTAAAAATAAAGAAAAAAGTGTGCAAGACAATAAGAAACACTACCTGCCAAAAAAGAAAGTGAAGTTTTGTTGAAATCGGTTGAAAAATGTAGGAACTTCGATCCCATATATAAACGAACACACAAACACACACACACAAACAACCTGGGTTTTATAATAAGTATAACTCGATATGAGTTGTCCCCCTTTCATTCTGGCGACAGAATCATGTTTTATCGTGTTTTCAAATTGATTTCGTACAAAAACAATTGTGTTTCTTCCAATTTTTGGTGCTGTCAGAACCACCGCAAGGTAATTTTACGCAGTCCTATGAAGTTTTGTTAAAATCGGTTGAAAAATGTACGAAATCCGATCCAATATATAAACGTACAGACACACACACACACACACACACACACACACACAATCTGCGTTTTATAATAAGTAAGATTTAAAAATAAGATTTTTATTCTTTTAATATTTTTAATAGCATTTCGGACTTACAATAGTTTTCTTTGTTTTGTTTCATTCAGTTCTTTGTTTTGTTTTAATGTAATATCCCTATGGTAAAATAGCCGTTTCCTTATAAGGAAATATTCGGCATTCACTAACCGTGCAGTCACTATTACTGTCGGTTAAAATTTATAAAATATTTCTCTTAAAACAATTTTTTCAGGAAAATAGGTTTCTCAAGTTCAGTATGCATACGATCACATCACATTGTAACACGAGTTCTCGTACGATCGCTAATGTTAAGCAATGTCAAGCCAGGTCAGTTCCTAGATGGGTGACAATGGAAATACAGGGTGCTGTAGGCTTGGATTTGCGGTTGCAATATGTAATGGCTCGGAACTGTTAATTGGAGAGCAGAGTTGGGTCTGTTATATTCACTTACACGTAAATATCTTTGGGAATGGTATCAATCCACTTATTCTCGCCCTAGTTAATTAGTAAGACTTATATTACTAAATAATTATAAAAAAAAAATTCTTACAATCTAAAAATATTTTCTGTCTTTAAATTATCTGCAAAAGGTTGATAAGCCGGGAAAAAACAATCAATCAAACAAGTTCAGTAAAATAGTGTGAAATATCAACATCTTCGGCTTACATTTGACATCCATAACAAGTGTTATGTTGAAAATCCTCAATAGGGTGTGGTTTCTGTTATTTGGTATAGTTCTTTGATTCTGTAGCGCCAGTCCGCAATATTCGAAGAAGGATGGTCTAACCAAGACCCACACATTTCACTCGTTCAAAGTGATTTTTAACTGACAGGTTTGGCAAACAGTTAACACCTAAACCGGGGTCAAAACACTATGAAAGTGTAAAAATAGGTTTTAGTATCAGTAATACATTTTTGTACAAAATTGTTTTAGTATCAGTAATACATTTTTGTACAAAATTGTTTTAGTATCAGTAATACATTTTTGTACAAAATTGTTTTAGTATCAGTAATACATTTTTGTACAAAATTGTTTTAGTATCAGTAATATATTTTTGTACAAAATTGTGACTTTTAAAAAAAATTATTACCATTAATACATTTTTGAAAAAATATATTACCAGCAATACATTTAAAAAAAAAATATCACCAGAAATAAAAATCTTGTCGGCATCAAATAACCCATTGGGGTTGATATGCCGTAAAACAAACCTAACCTAATATAATCATCACTTTTTAAAACAAGAGACATTGCCGAGGAGTGACGGTAGTTAAAATAATAGCGGTTTCAAGGGGAAACAAATGTCGTTTTGACACTATTTTGGGGACACGAAGGTACGCGTTTGCCTTGCCATCAATACTAGAAAGAGCGGGAAAAATGAAGTCAGATGTCTTAAATTGTTTTAAGAAAAAGATCGTATAAATTTCAACCGACACTAACGCTAACTTTTCTGTTTGTGAGTGCCGATGTTTTTCTTCATGAAAATGGCCAATTTTCCCCATTAACATTAACATTTTTTTAAAATTAGCACGGCCATTCTGTCTCAGTGGACCTGAAATATCGATGCGAATATATGAGTTATCTTCAATGCATCACGCTCGCTGATGTCGTCGTCGTCATCATCAACATGACTCAACAGTAAAACACGATTTGAGAGAGCGCCATTAGATCCCTCAATGAGAGTGTCGCAAGTAGTAGTTGCAACAGTGGGTAGTAGAAGTGGGAATAGGGCGGTTGTGATAGATGTAGATGGTGGCTGCGTCAGTGCGTTGGAGGCAGCGAAATACGGCTTGTGTGTTGCTGCCATGGCAACTGGTGTGTGCAGCCATTGCGAGAACTTCTCCAAGGCTACCACGATTCCTAAGCGTGGCCTGTTACTGGAGCCACTGAGAATGTCGTGGCGGCATCATATTGATCTCTTGCTCTACCCAGACCCTATTGCCAGCCGATTGATTCACTCTTATCTCTCTTTCCCCACCTCTTTTCTCTCCACCTCTCTCTCTCTCTCTCTATCTTCTCTCCACCTCTCTCTCTCTATCTTCTCTCCACCTCTCTCTCTCTCTCTCTATCTTCTCTCCACCTCTCTCTCTATCTTCTCTCCACCTCTCTCTATCTTCTCTCCACCTCTCTCTCTATCTTCTCTCCTCTCTCTCTATCTTCTCTCCACCTCTCTCTCTCTCTTCTCTCCACCTCTCTCTCTCTCTTCTCTCCACCTCTCTCTCTCTTCTCTCCACCCTCTCTCTCTCTTCTCTCTCCTCCTCTCTCTCTCTCTCTCCTCTCCACCTCTCTCTCTCTCCTCTCCACCTCTCTCTCTCCTCTCCACCTCTCTCTCTCTATCTTCTCTCCACCTCTCTCTCTCTCTTTTTCTCTCCAACTCTCTCTATCTTCTCTCTATCTTCTCTCTCTCTCTATCTTCTCTCCACCTCTCTCTATCTTCTCTCCACCTCTCTCTATCTTCTCTCCACCTCTCTCTTTCTTTCCTTTCCACAATTTCTCTTTTCTCTCTCTCTCTCTCTCTCTCTATATATATATATTCTCTAACTCCCTCTATTGTCTCTCATTTCTCTCCATCCTCTCTCCTTTCTCTCTACTATTCTCTCCTCTCATCTCTCTCTCTTTTCTTTCCTCTTTTTCACCCCCATTTATTCCCATTCATTCCTTCTTTTTTCTCCTTCTTCAGATTATTTTCTCTTTTCATATCGATTTCAATAACTCTCCATTTATTTGCCTCATTCTATTTCTCCATACAGTGAACATAGGGTCAAGTGATATTAGGGCTTTATATTATTTATACTCTTTACCTTTCTTTCTTTCTTTCTAATAATAATAATGTTTCTTGTATACCTTCTTCAGTTCTAGATTTAGCCATTTAGTTTATTAGATTTGGATCATTTTTTTTTCACTTTGTACAAGGGACAAGATCCACTCGAGGTTGAAGGTTAAAGAATAATAAATATAGTTTAAAGGGAAATGTCGGGAAGGTAACGGTTTACCCTAGACTTGAACAGATTAAGATTGTAGAAGATAGGGGAAGCAACCTTCTGGGAGTCGGTTCCACGAAGCAGCGGTTCGTGAGATGCTGCTGGGTTGGAACTTACCTCTCGCCATTGACATATGAAAGGAATGAGGGCGGTACGTTACAATGTGCGTAGCATGGCGAGTCAAGGCCGTAAAGGTTAGAACTTGGGGTACTAAGGAATGTCGTTCATCTGAACATTGTCCATGGGAATAGCGATAGAACAGCGAGATATTTTATTGGTTACTATGTAGTTGTAGGCAGCTTAGCAAGAATTATATATAACTTTAAACGTTATATTTAGTGAATATATATATATATATATATATATATATATATATATATATATATATATATTTCATGTATTTAGGTGTTTTTTAACAGCGGTGATAAGTCTGTCCAATGACCTAGGACTACTTACAGAATAAGTGGTGCAACTAATACCGATGTGTGGAAGTTAAGAAATTGTCCGATGTTCATTTTGGAAGAGATATGATCCAAGTTCTCAACCGTCCCGTGCATGACGATAAACTACATCCGCGTCCTGGGTAAGATGATAAACTACGTCCAACAGCAAGGCCTCTGATCAGGAGTGGTAGCATCTGTTAGGGTCCCAACTATGGGCAAATAGTTAACCCCCAAACTGGGGTCAAAACACTATGAAAGTGTAAAAAATGTTTTAATACGATGAAATATTTTGTAAAAAATTATTACCAGCAATTAATTTTTGAAGAGAAAAAATATTACCAGCAATACATTTTTGAAAAGATATTACCAGCAAAATATTTTTTTGAAAGCAAAAAATTTGCAACTGTACATTTTTTTGAAAATGGTATTACCAGAAATGGATTTTTGAAGAAAAAATATTACCATGAAAAAATATTTTCATCGGCATTAAATAACCCATTGAGGTTGACATTCCGTAAAACAAAATAAACCAAATCAAACCAAACCAAACCAAGTTCTCAATAAATGGTGAGTGTTGTGACGTGACAAAGTTTGGCGCACGCGCGTGTGTGTGTGTGTTTGTTTATTTTTTTTATATATACAATTGAAGATGCGAGCTCTTAAATTATAATTTTTAGATGATTGTTTTTGATGTATGAGCATTGCTTCAAGAATCATATATATATATATATATATATATATATATATATATATATATATATATATATACACACACACATACACATACATATATATATATATATATATATATATATATATAATACATTAAGTGTACAAAATGCAACAAGTCCTACATAGGTATCAGCCAAGCACTACTAAACAAAAGAGTTTCTCTTCACAAAAGCAACATAAACAGAAAACTCTTTCTATCACAACACAAAATGTAACCAAGATAAATTTAAAAATGATGCCAATATATCAAACAGACAATTATTCATACCTACAAATACAAGAAAAAAATAACTTCATAGACAAATTTAAGCCAGCACTAAACAGATCATAACCCACACACGTAAACACACTGCATATACACATAATGGCCAAATACACTTGTCGGACCACACACACACAAGTATCTATGGAGAACGAATATATATATATACACACACATACTGGGAAAAAAACACAATAGACTACCTACTAGCACGCTCACGAACGCTACACAACATAAGAAGTGTGTGTATTAATTCCTTATAATAAAACAGTATATATGTATGAAAAAGTAATATGTAAACACATACTTGCAAAACACATGCACATACAACTAAGAAGATACAGGGGTCATAAAAAGATAAGACCGAAAACCTCCTTCCTTCGCCCTTTCTCTGACCAATCATAATTGTTTTATTACCCCTTAAGCAGAAGAATACTTTCGCCAGAAGTGCGAGAAAAATTTGGTTTACTACCTCACACAAAAGACAATGGTTAAACATCGGAAAACATAAGGAAAATTAATTCTTTTTAATAATATGTAGAAATAACCATTCTTTGTCTGATGAAGGTCGAAAGACCCGGAACACGTGTATCAAAAATTTGGAAAATAAAGTATAATACATATTTAAAAAAATCCACATTATAACCAAAAACGTTTGTCGTTTCTCTCTTCTTTTTAAAATATATATTTTTCTCTCGTTGGAACGATTATAACCTCTCCCTTATACACACACGTGTGTGTGAGTGTGAAACAAAAGGAAAAAGTTATAAGCGATTTATGAAAAACGACAATCTAAAAATGACTTATAATCTGCTGATATCTGGGTTAAGGAATGACTTGTTAATTTTAACGCTTCTAAAACGAAATTTCTATCTATCTATCATCTACGAGACTCCTTTTTACCTTCCATCAGCATAGCTGATGTGAACCACAAGGAGTGATTCATTGCTCCTTCTCTAGCTAACATTTTCCGCTGACCTGAACTAGAAAGAATATATTGAATCAATTGCTAGACCTGCTGCTAGTTGGTTCACTGTGTCATGTTAGACAATTTATCTCTCCAGAATCTATAAATATATAAGTCTACCATTCGTCCATACTTTGAATATTGCTGCCACATATGTTCGAGTGCTATAAATTCAGAGATTCGTGATTAAAAACAAAGAAAATCAGTTATGTTATCGGTGCTGACCCCGCCTCTCGCAACTTTCCCACCACTCTAATTTAACTTCCCTGCGACTTTTCTATAAATACTCCATGATAATTGTTCTGGCGAATTTTCTTCTATGGCACCTAGACTTTATGAATTGAAGCGCAGTACTAGATTGGCGGCAAGGTCTCATTATTTTAGCGCTGAAATTGCTACATGTTACAGTAAGTTCTATGCTAACAGTTTCTTCTCTCGCACTTCTCGCTTGTGGAACTCTCTTCCGACTTCCTGCTTCCCAGTCAATTTTGGTCTTCAAAAATTTAAATGCAATGTCAGTTGTTATATTCTTCTTAATTCTTGTTCTTTCAGTGTCCTTAATAATTTTTTTTTCTTCTTCTTATCCTCTAACAGTCAGTCTCCCTTTTGTGTCTTAGTGGCTTTATTGCCCGGCTTGGGATGAAATAATTAAAAAAGGAAAAAAAAAAAAAAAAAAAAATACAAAATCATAATAAACTATGAGGTATTGCTTTCGGAGCGGCCATCGTGTGTGCATACATATTAACCGTTTCTTCCATGTGGTATAATGCTTGGCAAGCTTGTCTCACTAAATCAATTACGACTGAATAGTATGTTCGATCCTTGCTGGGTGCTCCATGACTACTGCCTTGTGCCACATCTAAGCTACGCTTGGAAAATCACCATATTTTGGTGTCCTTGAGGACATCTGGGTTTATAATACCCAGAAATTCATACCCAAGGACACATGGCACAGTGGATAAAGGCGTTGGTTAGATCCAGTGACAAGACCCAAAGAGTGGGAGTTCAATACCCGGTTAAGGCAGTGGAGAACTTTCAGAGGGAAAATTAACAGGAGAAAGGAGATAACTGATAGCTGACATCCATTAAACATGGCACGTGGAACTAGAACAGTCTACCCCAGTGAGCAAAATAAAGGGTTCAGTTCGACATTCCAACCACCTGAAGAAGGCCGTTGTGATAAATATGGCGACAAAGATGAGGACAATAGTCCAAATAATGTAAATAATGTTCCGCATAAATGTTGGCCTATTTACTTCTTTTACAGTCTTTCGCTGCAGAAAATCACTACGTAAAGAAAAGTAATTTTTTTTTTTTTTTTTTTTTTTACGATATTGCGTAGTGATTTCAAAATGAGATATAGCTGTAAAAGAAACAAATAGGCCAAAATTTATGCTTAATACTTGTCAGGACAGAATGTATTAAAACAATGCCTGTAATGGAGGACGAATTACAAACAAAGTCCGATTTTTTTTTTTTTTTTTTTTTTGTCGATAACTCCAAAACGGTAAATTTCTTCATAATTTAATTGTTAATTCGAGTTCAGCATGTACATTTGCACGGAATTATGACGATTTGGGAAAATTTAAGAGATATTTAGCGCGCGGGCGTTAAAAAGCAAATTTACCGGGAAAGGTATGAATAAACTTTTTTTCCCCACAGTTATGAGTTAATTAGTAAGTTTTGTATCATTATTATCTCCAAAAAAATTCTTACAATCTAAAAATAATTCTGGCTTTAAATAACCTACAAAATGTTGATAATCCTTACAAAAACATCTACTTACACATTGAGATATATGTATATGTACGCGTATTTCAATATGTACATTCATAATTTTTGTCAACGTTTAATCCTATGTCTTTGTGCAGAGATTGATACATGAAGATACGTATTTCTGAGTCCATATGCTTGTTTGCGCATGCGCGCGGCCGTAAACCTGGACTCAGTCGTGACTCACAGGCGTCAGTACATCGAGATAATCTCATTTCTCTACCTGCCTCTCCCGATTCGTACCGCCTTGCTTCTTTTGTATCTGTTCTCTGCTCATAATCTCTATCTTGTGTCCCCTGGCGTCCCAAAAGATTAACAAACCAAGAGACTGGAGTTGTGCACTCGACGAGGTTAATGCCAGTTTTGCGATTATAAATACGTGGGTGGTGAGACTCGTGCTTCAACAGGAAATAAATGGAGATAAGAAAATCAGTTTGTATTTTGATGTTTGTTTAATGCATACAAATAAGAACGGTAGGAAAGGAGAACTTGGGATATATTATATGCATATATATATATATATATTATATGCATACATATATATATGCATATATATATACATACATACATATATATGTATATATGACATGTAACA